AATACATTTATGTGCATCGAGTTTTGTTGGCTTATTTTCTGGAAAAATACCGCGATCGTTTTGCTCATATCTTGGCGGGAGATGGTGAAATGAAATACGCAAAGTGGAGGGAGGAATATAAGATGTTAACGGGTTGTGATTAGAATGTCTACCATAAAATATATGTGCTTTGCTTATTATCCGTTGCAAATAATATTTATTCCCCGAGTATACTTCGTTTTCGATTGAATATCCTTTTGTTTTTTGGTGGCAAGTGATTCTCCAAATTCCTTCCTTTGGTTTCCGGAAGGAAGAGTTGGAAACATATGCAATCGATAAACGACAGCAACAGAAGCACCACGTACGGCAGAACTGGTAGCACATCGGCCTAAAGTTTCTAGGATAGGATGATGGAAGATTTCTCAAACTCTTTTAAAACAAACCAGGTAAAAGAGCTGAGGTGCAAAAATAGTCCCAATCCTACTTGCTACAGAAAGTGCTGAGTTGGCAATGTTCCGAACGGCTGTGGGAAAGAGTTCACTCGTAATCATGAACTTCGCAATGTATAGCTACAATTGATACGAATCAGAAATGTGTTCATGATGGGGTGATAGTAATTTGAAAATGAAAGTGCGATTTGACTGCAGTCAACTGTGAGGTTACTTGCATTAACTCGCAGTCACTGCGAGATTCAAGCTTGCAATTAACATTGAGAAAGACCGGAATTCAAGGAAATTTCGGTGCAAGAGAATCATCGATAAGACCTTAAAACGTTTACAAGGAGTAAATTCCAAAACTTTTGCGGAGTGAACAACATTTATTGAACAGCATGCAAAGTGCCCCTCGAAAGTGATGTTCTAATTGATGTTGTGTCATCAACAAGGTAAAGGCGTCAAAAGAGTACTTTCATCATCATCTAATCATCCGATCAACATTTTGACGTTTAATTTGAAGAATTAACTGACTAGGAAAGAGCAAATGTCTGAATGAGAATTAACTCTGCACGTAAAGTAAAGCTTCGAATTTTTTTCCCTAAACCCCTTTGTGGGGGCTGCAAATAAAAGCTCGCAACAACTCATCCGACGAACTACACAGAGGTTTTCAAAAAGGTGATCTGTAAATGGGAGCTTGGGCTTTGAGCTATACAGACATACCTGACTTGTCATTGCAGTCACTCCGATTGTGCAGTAACGAATCACCCATGCTTCCTCCTTTTGTAGATCTAAATTGACAAATAAGGTGTTAAAATGTAAATCACATTCATCACGTTTTGGGTGCATTACCTTGGAAGTAAAGTCCACAGATGACTGCAAGCGCTGCGATGATGGAAGCCATGGCAACAAAGTTGATGACTTTTCTTCCGACACATTTACAAAAGTAATCACCAACGCCAACTAGAATGTTCACTCCCCACCGGATCACCTGAATTTCGATGTTTTTCGCCTTAAAGCACGACTCAAATAACATACTCCAAAGATGGTATTATTCCAGTATAATGATCCTGAAAGTTTTTCCATATTGAAGAGGAGACCATAGTTGACCAACGAAGCCGTCACCCTAAACGTAAAACATGAAAAGAAACGCCAATAATTGTTTGTGAGATAAATTTGTTCGAGAGGTTTTATATTAAGTCAGGGTAAAGTGATTATTTCAACTTTTTCTACAAAAGAACTTCTTATATTGCTTTTGACATT